TAAATTTTGGATCATATTCCACGTCTGCGTTTGGAGCCAGAATGGCTTCCGAAGTGACCGGTTCGGGTCCGGTTAAGCGCAGAGGCTCCGGCAATCCTACACTTGATCCAGAGTCCGGAGGGCGTAAGGTCCCGTCCGAAGGGGAAGTATCCGGCTCAGGGGATTCGGAGACCCGAACATACTTGGTTTTTAATATGGGGAGGGAAGTGTATGCGGTCGTTCCTCGACGACCGCCACGAAGTGGGTGATCGGCGGGTGATTAATTTCCCTCCCGTCGGGCTTGAGCCCGATCCGATCATAGTCCGTTGAGACCCTTAGGGCAGCGATGTGGTCTAGCAGTTCATTTAAAGATGAAGCATCTGCCGGATCCAATTTTTTGGAATACTCAGGGCCAATGCGGGGACGATGCTTGGCGGCCATGTGGGGAGTTGCGGGCTCGACGGCCGCGCGGGCCCTTACGGTGAAACCATCGAACTGGAGGGTCTGCCTCGAAGCTAGGAACCCTCCAAAAGTGATATTGTTGTTGATGACTACGCGAGCCATAGATTGCCTTTTGCAGACAGCACGACAAAGCTCTCAAGGAAAGCACCAATGTCGGTGTCAAAACCGGCAGATCTCGGGTAGGGGGGCCCAAGCTGTGCGTCTAAGGATAAATGGTAACAGGAAGCCAGGGGACACAATGTTTACCCAGGTTTGGACCCTCTTAAGGGAGGTAAAACCCTACTCCTTCTTGATTATATTCGACGAGTATGAAGATTACAAGGGTTGATCTACCTCGAGATCGTAATGGCTAACCCTAGATGTCTAGCCTATGAGGATTCCAATGATGGTGAAGAAGATGGTCTCTACGGACCAACCCCTCCAGTTTATATACACACCGGAGGGGTTTAGGGTTTGTACAAGGTTGGTTTATCAGGGAAGGAAGCTTCCGAACTCTATTCTTGTTGTCCACGCATTGAGAAGTCCCATCCGGACACGGTGGATAATCTTTAGCTTGATCTTGCACGGCCCGTCCAACCCGACCCATACTCCTAGGCCGGACACCTGAGGACCCCTGAATCCAGGGCTCCCTCATTCACTCTCGTTACGGGTCTAACCATCAACTTTCATAAAACAACTTTCGCCCCTTTCCACTCCGACCCTGTCGTTGCCAATGGCATTGCTTCAACTTAGGATGCCCTATCTCCTCCTTCCCCCAAAGGTATCCCACACAAAGTTGCCCTCCTCGATATTCAACGCCATCAGTGAGACCTTCTACAAATTCCATTCTAGTTGGTCGTTGGTCTGCTCTTCCGCGGGGCTAGACTCACACTCATTTGTTCTGTCGTAGACACTCTACCGGTTTATTTTATGTTTGTTTTCCAATTACCCAAAAAAATTGAAAGAGCTAGACGCAATTTGTAGGGCCTTTTTCTGGATGACTGATAAAAACTGCATGGGGGCCCAGTGTCTTGTTGCTTAAGAAAATGTTTGTAAACCAAAAAATTGTGGTGGTTTAGGAATAAAAAACTTGCTTATTAAAGAATAATTGCCTTCTAATGCAATTTGTTTTCAAACTGCTGCAACAACCCGACTTGCCTTGGGTTCACTGGTACCATTACAGATGCTCCAACGCTATTGACAAAACTTCCAAACCCACCTTCATCTCAAAGGTTGTAAACCACCAGCTACCTGTTCTACAAAAAAATTATTTGTTTTCACAAACAATGAACAGGGAATTCTTTTGGGGCTCGACACTTTGGATCCATCATCAACAATTATATCTGGCCTTTCCCCATCTTTTTTCCCACTCCACAAACTAAACAACCTTAGTCTCACTCATTTTGCAGAAGGGATTGCTAGCTAACCTACGAAATCGCCTTACTAATGTTGCCTCTTAGAACTTGTTGCTGTTTTGTCCTTGTTGCAGGATTTCCATACCAATGACACCACCAACGAAAGGTATATTAACCATGGGCTTTCGTTCTCCACTAAGAATGCCTACAACCTTCTCTCCAGACCGCCTGACCACAACTCAAAACACCGGCCTTATTTGGGCCCCGCGCGTCCCCATCAAGTTGCAAGTATTTGGATGGCTACTCTTCAAGACCGCCTAAACTCCAAGTCCAACCTGTTCCGCAAGACCATTGTCACCGACACCATCTATTCTCGTTGCACTGCCCCCTACGAGGACGCAGCTCACATCTTCGTCTACTGCCCCGACTTCGACGCAGTGTGGGTGGCCCTTCAGAGCATCTCTAGCCGCGCCCCCAACAGGCCCCCTAGGCGACTTTTTGGGCGCCGGCGGCAAAAAAACGGCTCAGTCGCGCCCCCAGGACGATGAAAAGCGCCGGTTCGGCCCCTTTTTCCGTCCAGCGGCCGCAGGCTGAACCCGTTGTGCTGGGGGGCACTTGGGGGCTCCGGCGCATGGGAAAAGTGCGGCTGGCCTACGCCGTCAGGCGAAAAGTCAAGATTTTCTTCCCCGACTCGCCTCCCACCCCCCGCGCTCTCGGCCGCCACTAGGTATATCCCGGCGCCGCCCCGCCGCCCTTCACCGGTATATAGCCATTCCCCGCTGGAAAAATAGCAGAGGTTCGCCGCGGCAGCCCCTCCGACACCAGCTGGGCGTTTCCGGCTGCCGTTTCCGGCCGCGGAGGGGCGGTTTAGCGGCGGGTGCACGCCCACCGCGCACAAGGTGTTCGGCGATTTGCCTGCCTCGGCGATGGACTCGGATGACGAGGAAGTGCTCGTCGCGCTGCTGGGGGAGGAAGCCGAGGCTGATGTCCAGGAAGAAGAGCATCTCATGGTGCTCGCCGCCCTCGTCCAGCTGTTGGCGAGCAATGAAAAGCCGCGGCGAGGTGGCTCAGCGCCGGGGCATGTGAAAGCAAAGAACCAGCATCGTCTCGAAGGCTACTGCATGCTCTACGCCGACTACTTCGCCGATGCTCCACTTCACGGCGACAAAACATTTCGGCGCCGTTATTGGATGAACAGAAAGCTTTTCCTCTGGATTGTTAATTCCATCCGGGAGTTTGACAACTACAAATGCAAGATGGATTGCACTGGCAAACTTGGATTCACCTCGATCCGGAAATGCACGACAGCAATGAGGATGCTTGCATACGGAGCTCCCGGTGACTCACAGGACGACTATGGGCGCATGGCCGAGCCCACAGCCTAGAGTGTTTCTACAAGTTCTGTCGGGCAGTGGTGGCAGTGTTTGGACCCCAATACTTGAGAACACCCAATGCGGAAGACACTGCTCGGATCCTAGCACAGAATGCAACAAGAGGATTTCCTAGGATGCTTGGAAGCATCGACTGCATGCATTGGAAATGGAAGAATTGCCCATTTGCTTGGCAGGGAATGTACAAAGGTGCCAAAGGCGGTTGCAGTGTAGTACTTGAGGCGGTGGCCACACAGGATCTCTGGATTTGGCACTCCTTCTTTGGTATGCCAAGAACTCACAATGACATCAACGTGCTGCATTGCTCTCCTGTCTTTGCCAAGCTTGTTGAAGGTCATTCTCCACCGGTGAACTTCGAGATCAATGGGCGGCACTACAACAAGGGGTACTATCTAGCTGATGGCATCTATCCGAGATGGTCGACATTTGTGAAGACCATCAAAAACCCTGTGCCTGGAGGCAAGAACGCCTGGTTTGCGAAGATTCAGGAGGCTTGCAGGAAGGATGTTGAGCGGGCATTTGGTGTGCTCCAATCTCGATTTACTGTTGTCCGGTACCCCGCTCAGACCTGGTCCAAAGATCAAATGTGGGAGATCATGACCTGCTGTGTCATCTTGCACAACATGATCATTGAGAGCAAGCAGGAAGAGCCAGTGTTTGACACTGAACCATACCACAGGCAGGGTCCTCTTGCCCAAGTTGATCACCAGCTACCGGCAACCTGGACTGCCTACCTTAGTATGCGTCAGGAGATCCAAGACCCACAGGTGCATCTTCAACTGCAGCAAGATCTGATAGAGCACCTATGGAGGCTCAAGGGCGACACCGGGTGCGACGTGTGATGAAATATGATTTTTTTATTTGTTGAACTATATAATTTGTATTGAACTATTTGTTGTTGTACTATTTTGTTGAAGTATTTGAATTTTCTGTGATGAAATATGTGAAAAACAATATTTATGTTGATAATTGAACGCCGAGCCACGGCGAACCATGCCGAATATGGGCCTATTCTCGCCCATATGGGCCTTTTTCGCCGAAATGGAGGTTCAAAAGTGGGCCAAAATCAACGACTGGGGGCGACGACTGGACGCAAAACCGGCCCCAGCGCCAAACTAGTCGCCGGCTCGCCCCCAGGGGGTGATTTTTATGCGCCCTGGGGGGCCGAACGACTGGAGATGCTCTCAGCTTATTGCCCCCGCCACCATCGAGGACATTTGGGACACCGCCACGCCACGCCACGTCATTTATCAGGGCGGGTCTCACCTGATTTATATGAGACCTGGTCTCATATAATTTTTTTCCATGAGGATATATAGGCTTCGGTGGCGCTCCATCCTCTGGAAGATTTGGGACTCACAGAGACTCTGTGGCTTTCCATAGGACACGCCACCCTGTGCATGTAACCGTGCAAAATATTGTATATGATTTTACTCTTTGGACTGCTAGATTTAGGAGTTCTCAGCAGAAGGTTGGCGCCATGGCGTCAATACCTGTCCTCTCGCACTAGCGCAACTTTGTTAACTGGCATCAGGGCACTTTGAGTAATGCATTCAGATGGGGAGCCTCCCCCTCCTTTGTAGAGGGAGTACATCTTCAACAATCGGTGGCAAGATTCCGTGTAGCCGATGCAGCTATCCTCCGAACCAAGCTGGATTCGTTTACACGTGCAGAGTCTAGCAGACCGACTTGACAAAAGACATATACTCGATACGACTGATACAAGATTGCAGTACAATAACACAACCTCGGACGCAAAGCGCAGATGACACCGCGCCGGGCGACTACTATGTTTAACACATTCCATATATATCCGTATGATACGCGGAGGATGCTATGCTCTGCTCGGCCTCTCGCCGGAGCCGAGAGCACTGGGCATAGTGACATAAACGGATGGCTCCACTTGAAACGAGGCATGTCCTCCGGTAGCCCGCCTCTGCGATGCCGCCGTCAGCCACTGCGACTGACGCTCGGCCGTGCTCGCCATACTCTCCTCGAGATTACATGTCATCGACGTGCCCACGCCATCATCACTGTCCCAGGCCACCCCTTCCGGCGGCGGCCACACGAACCTTGGTTTCATCAGAGGCACCTCGGGCGGCGGCGCCGACTTGGCGATGACCTGCACCACCTCGGGCATGGTCGGCCGGTCCGACGGGTTTGGGCTGCTGCACGCCAGGCCCAGGAGCAGCAGGCGTTCGGCGTCACCGCCAGCGTGCAGGCTGTCCTCGTCCGGAGAAGAACTAGCGACCAGCACTGCATCGACGCACTCCAGTAGCCTCCCCTCGCGGTATAGACGCCACACCCGGTCGGTGATATGGACGTCGTCGTCATCCGCCGCCCGATGAATCAGCACCCGCTGGCCCGTGACGACCTCCAGGATGAGCACCCCGAGCGCGTAGATGTCGGTCTGCCGCGTCGCCTTGCCCAACATAGCGTACTCCGGCGCGATGTATCCCCGGGTGCCACCGACGCCAGTGGCGGAGTTCCTGTCGACGTCGACGGTGCAGGCAAGTCCAAAGTCGCCGAGGCGGGCGCGGAGGCTTGAGTCCAGCATCACGTTGCTCGCCTTGATGTCGCAGTGGAGGACCATGGGCTCGTACTCGTGGTGGATGTAGTGCAGCCCGGTGGCTACGTCTCTGACGATCTCGTACCGGGTGGCCCATTGTTGGATGGCGGCCGCGTCAGTGCCTTGCTCCCGTTGCTGCCCGGTGTGACCGCCGCCTCTCGGGAAGAGATGTTGGTCCAAACTGCCATGGTCATGAATTCGAACACAAGCAGAGGCTCTCCTTTATTGTAAGACCAACCTGAAAATAGACACACATTTGTGTATGTAGCATGTTAAACTTGTCCTTTGCGGCTTTGCACTAGTGTACGTACATAGATACGTTGCAACCTAGAGATTATGTGTAAATAAAGGGATTGCGCATTTCAACATCAGTGTAATGACTGGCAAATCTCAACAGGTTAACATCTAATTATGCTCGCCACCACCGCCACTCGATAAGAGATTCAAAGACCACGCTTTTTAAATTTGCGGACTTCTTCACAATTTTATGGTCATTTGTGTTAGACTGTATAACTTCTATATATGTGTATATATGTGTACGTATGACGTAACGTTGTACGCCTTCATTATATATATGAGATAGGCCACCCCTAGAGGGTTGAGCCGGTTCCCCCAAACCTATTGTCTTGCATGGTATCACATTAGGTCAAACGCTTCCGCCTAAACCCTACGTCGCCGCCGCCGCCCTTGTCGATCGCGCCGCGCCGCCACCATCCTTGTTGATCGCGCCCCCGTCGCCATGTCGGGCTCCTCCACGGCCAGCTACTTGCCGGCCTCCCTCGCGGCTCTCCTCCCCCGGCCACTCGACTCCGCCGCGGCTGCGACACTCCCGATCGGGACGAGGAGCGTCGGCTCCTTTTTCTCCTTGTCGCCAGGCAACTCGCTGGTGGTTCACACCTCCAGCGCCACGACGGGCGCCTCTTCGCCCGCCTCCATCAACGACGATGTTGTCGTCCCGCTGTCGGCCTCCACGTCGGCCCTGATGGCCGGCCTTGCGGCCTCGGGCCCGGCTACCGCACCGCCTGTTCCCGCGGCCACCACGCCGTCCGTTCCCGCGGCTGCACCCATGGCACCTGCCCCTATGGCGTATACGCCTCCGGCAGCCTACTCCATGGGCTCCCTGCCGCCGCCGCCGTTTCACTTCGGAAATCTCATCAACATCAAGTTGTTATCAGACAATTACATCTTCTGGCGTGCGCAGGTCCTCCTGCTTCTTGGGAGCCACTACCTGCTTGGCTACGTCGACCGCTCTCTCCCCTGTCCCCCTGCGCTGGTCGATAGCGTGCACGGCCCGGTTTATAACCCGGCACACCGTGTTCGGACGGGGAAGGCCCAGGCGAACCTCTCCTCCATCCAGGGGTCGCTCACTCCGGCTGTTGCCGGACTTGTTGTCTACGCCAAGACGTCTCATGAGTCATGGACCATCCTCGAGCGCTCATTTGCGGCGCAGTCGCAGGCTCGTGTCTCTGCGCTCCATCGTCAACTTGGGGAGTGTGAAAAGCTTGACTCCACGGCCACTGAGTTCTACAACAAGGTCAAGGGTCTTGCCGACACGTTGGCCTCCATCGGACAACCGCTCACCGACTCCGAGTTCAACTCTTTCATTGTCAATGGTCTTGACGAGGAGTATGATGCCTTGGTCGAGATCATCAACGAGCGGGGCAACTCGAACCCCATGATGGCGCACGAGGTCTTTTCCCGCGTCCTTCTCACTGAGCAGCGGGTCGAGTTGCGCTGCTCCAAGAGCAGCGGCTCCCTCTCGGCCAATGCCGCCACCAAGGGTGGCCGCCATCCTTCGTCATCCAGGTCTCCCTCGGGGTCGCCACCGCCGCCCGCCTCGGCCCCCCTGCTACTGCGACCTTACCGGGGTCTGGTGGCAAGCGCGTGTGTCAACTTTGTGGCATTGAGGGGCACTGGTCCTCTAAGTGTCACAAACGCTTTCAGAAGAGCTTTCTGGGCCTCGACAATGATGGCAAGGACACGTGAAACTTTGCGCGTCAGGTGGCCATGGCAGATCGGCCGGTGTCCACAAAGCAGCAAGGGCACACTCAGTCCTACTCTGTTGATTCCCAACCTGTACATGGACTCGGGGGCAACGGAGCATCTGACGAGTGAGATGGGAAAGCTCCATACTCGCGAACCTTACCACGACTCCGACAAGATCCACACTGCCAATGGAGCAGGTATGCATATATCTCATATTGGTCAAGCATCTCTTCTCACTAGGCATGCAAATAGGAGTCTTCAGCTTCATAATGTGCTTAGAGTTCCCTCTGTGACATGTAATCTTCTTTCAGTTCCTAAACTCACACGTGATAATAATGTGCTTTGTGAATTTCATCCTTTTGATCTTTTTATTAAGGATCGGGGCACGTGGGACATTCTTCTTAGCGGGCGGTTGTGCCAGGGCCTCTACTGTCTGGAGCATCCTGATGTCGCTCGCGTGTTCAGTGGAGTTCAGGTATCTCCGTCACAGTGGCATGCTCGTCTTGGTCACCCGGCCACACCTATCGTTCGTCATGTTTTGTGTCGTCATGAGCTTCCTAGCATGTCTAGCAATAAAGATGTAGCAGTGTGTGATGCTTGTCAGCAGGGGAAAAGTCATCAACTTCCTTTTTCGGAGTCTAGTCGTGAGGTGAAACATCCTTTAGAACTTGTTTATTCAGATATATGGGGTCCTGCTCAGACTTCTGTCAGTGGTCACAATTATTATATCAGTTTCGTTGATGCTTATAGTCGCTTTACCTGGCTTTATCTTATTAAACCCAAATATGATGTGTTTGACATTGTTGTTCAGTTTCAAAAACATGTTGAACGCCTTCTCAAGCACAAAATTG